ATCGCCTCAGATTTCATTATTCTCTGTTCTCATTCTCTTTTTTCCGATTTTCTTAACCTTCTACCTTCAAGCCTTTCACTTTCGATTGATGATGCATAATACTTATATCTGTTGACATCAGTAGTACACATCATACTTATATTGTATATAGAAATAAAACAGTTTGTTTTTTATTCTATTTAATATAAAACAAAAACAAAAAAAAGTGCCACAGATTGTTAAATGAACATGTTTCTATTACGTAATAAACTAGACAATATTAATAAATGTAATCATTTTATGATAGGTGTCAATTCTTTGAATAGATCATTTTGCAATTGTCATGAATCAAGTTCATTGAAACATGAATAGAAGAAGATTTCTAGTTTAAAATTTATTCAATGAGAATTTAATCTTGTATCAAAAATATCATGATGTTTTAATTTGTAAAACAAATTTATAACCGTTATAAACAAAGATGGATAGTGGCTAGGAGTGGGATCCATGACGCACGTTTCGTCTTATCGGGGACTCGCTGGCTAGATGTACTTACATCTCAGAGTTGACACTCACCCTAGGACTCGAACCCAGTACCATTCGCTTCTAGCACCATCGCATTATCCACTCAACTACTAAGCCCTGATAGTTTCTTACCTGTGCAATGGGGTGAAGTTTAAATCCAGTCTTATCAAACTGATCAATTGCAGTCCTAAACATCAATGAGAAGATTCAAATAAACAATACCGAGTGAATTTAAATCTATAACCTTTGAAATTATGAACTTATTGTTATAATGTATTTTAGTGACCCGATATCTAACCGGAATTGGATGGTATAAATGTTAATGGAATATACATGCCAGCTATCTTCGTATACAATGTATTGACTTAATCTGAGTTGGTGAATAATGCAATTAAATAAGTCAATTACAAGAATATATGTATATTGCATACACTCATTGTTTGAAACAGGTATTCAAGGAAACGAAACAAAGAAGGAAGAGTAAAACGGATTGCAGAAGGCAAATGAACCAACTTGATCGATATTCATAGCCGAATAAAAATAAGTAAGATAGGAAATGAACACACATATACTTACATAAAAACAGTCAAGGTTAATAAAGAAATAATTAATAAGGTCAAAATGTAGTTTGAGGAGAATGGATAAGTTAGTTTGTCCAGAAGCTAGAATAAATTCCGTCTGTAGCTCCTCCGGGGGCTACTGACGGTCTCAAGCCCGGACGAAGGAAGAGAGTTGGACATGGAGTTAGTGACCCCATCCCGTAGAAAACTAACTCTCTAAAAAAATGCTAACCAGAAAATATTATTCAAACCATTTAAACTCTGTCCTGGGAGTAAGTAAGAAAGTAAGAAACTAGAATAAGCTATATACGCTTGACATAGGACCAGCAACTACAGTACTTTAATCTAATTCGTAGTTATTTTAACTCAAAATCAAATCAATTATCTATGGATTTAAATAACAAGTAGTCATTATATGTTGAAATTATAGTGATATCAATGAAACTTAAACACTACTAATATTAAGTAGTAAGTGAACAGACTGTCCTTTGTGTAACGGAAACCACATATTTCAGAAGTTGAGAATTTTCAGTAGATCTCTTATGTTCTACCGTTTGATAGTTCATGAGTTATATGAAATTTGTGTGAATAGCTTGTGGATATGTATATTCAACTTGTGAGGTATAATATAATTAATCTATAATAAGTATATCCCTTATGAATACTGTAAAACAAGCATATGTTTTTTCCATTATTTGAACAGGAATTGACAGCAGAAACTTGTCAAGGATTTTTGATTGTGAATATTCGTGGTTTAACAAAAGAGATAATTATTTCAAGTTTATTACAATGCAAAAGTTATTACTACTACTGTGGTGTGTGCTACTGATGTCAATAGATATAAGTAGTACGTGTCGTCAATAGGAAGTGAAATGCCTGGAGGCAGAAGCTTAAGAAGATCGAAGGAAAAAAAATGAGAATAGGGAGTGATTGATATGGAAATGAAGGAACAATGAAATCTGAGATTATTGATTGACATTTGCAACGTGAACAGTGTATAGTGACCTGCTTTTCTCGACAAGAACGCGATTGGTATAATGGAAACAATTTTTATAATAACCGATTGTACCAGTGATTGTTTTACTGTGATCGTTGTTGTTTAACTGTTTCATAATCACTTTTCGTTCAGATGTCCATCTTGTCCGCTCGAACTTTCTTACGCTCTGCCCTTATTGTCTATACTCGTTGGCACGTATCGGTATTCTTTCGATACCACGAGATCATCAATAAATATACTTTATCTGGACTCATTATAGCTTTCTGTTTTACGAGCTATCAAAGGAACCAAGTCGATTTTGGGCGCATAATCTTACCGTAGTGGTGATCATAGTCAATCGCGACTGGACGCCATCTACAAGTGAGGTTTGAGACAATTGATTGACATTTTCCAAATGAAGAATTTACTATATGGTTCTCAGATTTTACTAAGATATTCTGTAATGTTGTATACAGGTAGATTAGATTACCCCCATTTGTGTTCTCGTTCACCACACTAATATTACTCCAATTTATTTGTTCCTTCTCAAATTTGATATTTATTCGGCTACTTAAACCTATAAGAAATATTCTAAATAAACTGAATATAGTGAATAAATTGATTGTACAAAATCTTAGTTTCTATAAAAAGAATTCTACAACATGGAACTGTCTCTCTTCTATACAAGGTAAACTTGTTGAATCTATTATTCAAGAGTTATTCTTCTAGCAACTCGGGTATTTCTTATATTCTTAGGCTTTTAATATTTAACAAAAGAGTCTTTGGATTAATAAATGACAAATTGATTGTTATGTATATAAGAATTATGATCTTGATAAATACGTAAACTCAGTAATAGTGTACAAACTCAAACTGTTTATTTACAAATGAAATATTAAATTGTTAAAAGATTGTGAAGGAGAACACAAGTTGGAACAATCAAATGCAGAATATCTTAGTAAAATCTGAGAATCATATTGTAAATACTTCATTTGTAACATGTCAATCAATTGTCTCAAACTTCACTGTTCACGTTGCAAATGTCAATCAATCATCTCAGATATCATTGTTCCTTTATTTCCATATCAGTCACTCCCTATTCTCATTTTCTTTTCTTCGATCTTCTTAACCTTCTGCTGCCAGGTATTCCACTTTCGACTGTTGGTACATACTAATTATATCTGTTGGCATCAGTAGTACACAGTACAGAAAGGGTGCCTAAATTAAGTTTATGTTCATTAATAAATAATATTTTAACAGTTATTGAAGCCTATTTAAATGTATTACTGAATTTAAAACCTAATGTACAGATCACAGTTCTCAAAATAGTGATCTTGTAGTGTGGTCTACTTATATCCATATAAGTAGTATACGGCGATGGTCAGACATAGAATCTATTTCGGCAGAAGACCAATAAAGAAAGAACTGAAATGAAGCGCAATTGGTAGGAAAATGAATGAACACTGGAATTAAAGAAGATAAACTGATATTTACAAAAGAAACAGTGAAGATTGAGACAATTGATTGTTATTTTGCAAATTAACTGTTTACTGTATGGTTATTAGATCTTAGTAAGATAGTTTGTAATTTGTTCTTAAATGCATTCAATTGTCCCCAATTGTGTTATTGTTCATTATAATCTCATCTATTATGGATTTTTTATTTGTTTAAAATGTACTTTTTATTATCCATCATTTTTTTCGGATACAGTTTTTATAATAACTAAAAATAAATTTCACATAATAGAGGGATTGTGCCTAGCAATGATGTTTAGGATTCACTTCCCAGTATTGATGTTCACATTAGAAATTGAACCTAGTAGCCACTGATTTAAACACCAGCTCACTATCTAATATACATGGCCACGCGTACATAGCCTCTGTCACGGAAATCCTACTCACTGCCTTCCCACAGTGGCGAGGGTGTTGTTTACCAAATTAAGAGGACGAAAAGCGAATGTCCGGTGCTTTAACCGGGTTGGTGGACACGAAAAGTCCACCTAGGGGAGTTGGAAAATCCCCATTCCAAACCAATGGTGCACATGGGCTCCAGCATCCTGAAGGAACAAATGGTGTATGAATCAATCGTTGATCACCGGCCACCATGGGACTGCATCTCCTCATGATGCTCCACTGCCTTGTGGATCAAACGTTTAGGTCAAAGGCTCTGGGTGTGGCCACCTAAGGAAACCACCTGTTTGAGTTTGGGTACTTGGACAGTATCATAGCCCTCACACAAATAAAATGAGATTTGTGTGGCGCATATATATATATATATATATATATATATATATATATATATATAGTGCCTCTTTGTACCAATATTTATGTGTTCAAATAATAATAATAAAGAAAATTATTAAAGCTTCTTTATATGCGAAACTAATATTTGAAATAATCTCAGCGATTGAAGAATTTCAAACAAGTTTGCTGGACGAAACGTTGGAATTATTTTTAAATTTCAATCACTGAGATTATTTCAAATATAATTTTCACATATAATGACTTCTCTATACTCGGCGCTCAAATTTTGTCAAATTATTCGTTGGTAGATGCAGAATACTTGGTTGGGGTCCACGTGACTATCGTAAACAATGGTTAGCGATTCTGTGTGACATGGCTCAGAATTGATCACAATAATATAGGTATATACACTCCTTGTCTTCCCTTAAACTATGAGATTAAAATTGCTTCATATCTTTCTTTCTTCCTGTACTATATCCTTATATACAATCTTTCTTTTATATATTATCACCATTAAATTAACTACTTCTATGCATTCGGTGTTCATTTTGTTGTGCTAATGATGTATAGCAACTTGGACGGATGTATATATGTGCCTAGTCCTACATTGTAGCTGACTGACTGACTGACTAATACTCACGAACATTCGTACAAAAACGTCTTTTTAAAGATATATTTTAAAACATTTTATTTTGATAAATATTAATGATGTAATATTTCCTATAGATAACAATAACAGTTTTGTCCATTCAGATTAAATTGTTTCCATTTCAATTCAAGAATTGAACATTTTGCATTGCTGACTACATCATATGGACTTTTATCATACTTTGCCCTAAAGAAAAAAATAAATGAAAAACGTTTAATAAATTTAAAAAAATATTTTCATTATTAATGCTTACTGTTTATTATCCGAAATAGATTTTGTAGAGATTCTAGTAATTTAATAGTTGAATTCATGAGTCGATTAAAGCTAGACCACCCATGGAAAACCCGGATACACTGGACAGCGGTTTCGTCCTAGGATGGGACTCATCAGTAGTGCTTATCCACGATCGCACACGAGCGATAAACCCCCAGACCATCGAGCCAGCATCCGATGGCGTTAATGTATAATTTTGATCAGTCCGAAAAATTGCGCCACCGTCCATTATTATCTTCAGTGAGTTACTGCCACATGACCGACACGGTTGATATTCACTGGTCTCATTTTCGTGGATTGATTTAAGTTAGACATTGACCCTATGGGATGCCGGCCCAGTGGTCTGGGAGTTGGGGGCTCGCTTGCGAGATTAATGGTCCTGCGTTCGAGTCTTGTGTCTACGGTCGTGGATGCGCACTGCTGAGGAGTCCCATAATAGGGCGGAACAGTCGACCAAGTTTTTCAAGTTGGTCTAGCTTTAGTCAACTCATGAATTCAACTATTAGCCTTGTGATTAAATCTAAAAATTCTAAATCTAAATGTAGAAAGATAATTCGTAGAACAAGTTTAAACACAATAATTGCTCAGTCTATTTTTTTTAAAAAAGGACTTCAGTTACTGTAACAAAACCATACATTTAAGTTATTTTATTCTTTCATAAACTATAGAATACAGAAGGCTTGAAAGTATAAATTGGAATTTACTCAGTTATTGACATAACACACATAAATTATATTATCGATTAACTAGAATGTACATTCAATCCATTGAAGGCAATTCAGTGTTACTATTTCTGAAGTAATATCAACTTGACATTTATTCCTGAGTAGTGATAACAAAAACAGTTCGCTAACTAAAGCCTCACTGTTGATCAACAAGCTTAACATAGCGGAAGAAATATATTGTTAGGCATTCAGTGCAAAGGTTGGATGGAGATTCGACTTGACATCACTACATTGGTTGCTACTTAGTATATTGATTAACAAATTATTAGATGGAGTTGACTTACTATGGGGGTCTTGTAGAGATTTGCTTAATTCCATAGTTATTATCACGGACTGATTTTGGTTAGTGGAAGTGGGAAGCTGTGACAGGTAGGATTAAAGATTGTCTAGTAGGAAGCAGTTACAAACCCAATAAAATAGGAAACAGTTGCGGCATATATCAAATTAATGAAATTTGACTATTTAAACCATAAGATGCGTGCTCAGTGGTCTACAGGTTGTGTCGACGAACATGAACGAAGATCTTGGGTTCAACCCCTGGATGTGGAGTCGTAAAGCCTTACTTCCGAGGAGTCCCATAATAGAATGAAATAAATGCCTCATGCTTTCAGGTTTCTAATGATTATTTAACTAAAATCAATTGTGCTGAAACTGTGATATTCTGAACTAGTTTATTTAATATTTCTGATATAGAGTCATATAACAGTTATGCTTTTATCTCAGTTTGAAATATCCTATTCATTCAATGATTTGTTGTTCATTTTAGCCGAGTTACCATTTTTTACGAACCTTAAAGCCTGTTGTTTGTAATCTTTCTAATAAATTGATTAGTACAGATGAAGTCTACATAAACTTGTGGTAATTATTAGTTAGTTGTGTTTTTAATAAATGTAATGAATAATTAATAAAAAGTAATTAGGTCTATGATTATAACAAGTGAATAACATGGCAATTTGTAATTACCCAGGGGCGTAGTTACATACTACGAATACACCATACGGGAACTGTGGAGATTTCCGACAATCAGTAACACCACATCCAATATGTGTTGTTTCCTGCCATACAATCTAAATTAACAATAAATAGATTATAAACAATATTATGAAGTATAGACTTCAATTTTATTTTGTAAAAACAGGTGAAATTCTGAAAGCAATTTCAATGGCGAAATGACATGAATTCAAGTTAACTCATTAGTGACTGGCTCCATGAGGTATTTCCTGGAGTTCTAGTAAGAAGCAGTGACCAGTGGAGTTCAATCAGCTCTGTTAGGAGATATCAACTCACTGATGACATTGGTGGATGATTGCTCAATTTCGTGGATTGGTTGAAGTTAGACATTAACATCGTTGGATGCCGATCGGCTCAGAGGTTTAGTGGTTAAGCGCTCACGCTTAGGTCCTGGGTTCGAGTCTTGCGAGGCGAGATCGTAAATGTGTAATACTGAGGGGTCCTACAATAGGACAAAACGGCCGTCCAGTGTTTCCAGGTTTTCCATGGTGATCTAGCTTCTACCGATCCAATTTATTTGAATTTATATGATCCACTAATTTCTAATGCACTCAGTAGCTAAGTGGATAACACTATGGCGTTTGAAGCGAAAAGCACTGGGTTAGAATCCTAAAGTGAATATCAACTCTGAGATGTAGTTACATTCAGCTGACGAGTCCCAAATAGGATGAAACACACGTTCTGGATTCCACTGCTAGTCACTATACATGTTTGTTTATAATTCTTGTGACTTGAGGTAGTATGGAGGCAGTTCACATAGCATGCACATATACCAATAAGAGACCTATTCATTGCAGTCCTAAATAACAACAGGAAGATACAAGTAAACAACAACACTAAATGAATTTAATTTAATTAATAGTTCAAATAGTTTCTTTTCTCAAAACACTAACCTGTAAATAATTTCCACATGATTTACTATTGCATGTATTACTATCAAAGTCATAATATTGATATTCATTAACCCATGCATCCATAGCCCTTTAAAAAAGAAAATTGATTAATGAAATTAACCCCCCCCCCCAAAAAAATAATTTATAACATACGTTTGAACATCATCATAACCTGCAATATTTTGTCCAACATCTTTAAATTTATAAGTTGTTACATTGGAGAAACGAAAATTACACGTCTTTGATAATTCAGTTGCTTTTAAAGCTAATTGATCATTCCATATCTGTAAGTAATATAAGTAGTATAAAGTATATTAGGTAAATTTATTTAAGAATAAACTAAAAAAAATAAGTTATCATTTAAACCATAGATACTTTGTATGAATAAAGATCAGAAGCCCATCCTACTGTAGTGAACAAAGAACACTAGTGGGGACAATCGAATGTATTTAGGCATAAATTATAGACTATCTCTCACTAAATTCTGATAACCATACAGTCAACAGTTAATTTGCAAAATAACAATCAATTGTCTCAATCTTCACTGTTTCTTTTGTAAATATCAGTTTATCTTCTCTAATTCCAGTGTTCATTCATTTTCCTACCAATTGTGCTTCATTTCAGTTCTTTCTTTATTGGTCTTCTGCCGAAATACATTCTATGTCTGACCATCGCCGTATACTACTTATATGAATATAAGTAGACCACACTACACTACATCAGTTTATATATTAAATTAAATTAATGATTACCATAGACTGTATATATTAATAGAAATATAAATGAAATCATTCAAATAAATTATAATATAAATATACCTACAAGATTGAGTATTCTCTTAGCTTGTGGTTGACCTGTAATATTACAACTTCGAGCATATTGCCGAATTCTATTATGTGCTTTCAATAAATAATCTTGATCTTTAGTCAACTTAATTGTTAAAATGAATTCAGATAAGAAGATAATAGAATAGAATGAAAAGAATAAATTTTGTTGCATATTACTATTAGAAAGAAAGTAGTTTATCAATCAACTTATTTATATAGATGGACAGATGGATAGATAGATAGATAGATAGATAGATAGATAGATAGATAGAAAGGCAGATTGATAGATAGACGGGTAGATAGATAGATGGATACATACATACATACACACATACGTACATGTACACATAGATACCTAGATAGATAGTGGTTTGTGTATGTCATATGATTAACTAAGTAAATGTTGAACCAATTATAAACATTTTGTCATTGAAACCATATAACTGATAATAATTTTTTATATATAATTGAAGTCGTGAGTCAGTTGAAGCTAGACCACCATGGAAAACTTGGAAGCACTGGACGACCGTTTCGTACTATTATGGGACTCTTCAGTAGTGCGCATCTATGATCCCGCCTCGCGAGATTCCGTACCAGGACCTATCAGTCTCGTGCGCGAACGTATAACCACTGGCCCACTGAACCGGCCGGCATCCAATGGTGTTAATGTCTAACTAACCGATCCACGAAATTTAGCAATCATTCACCAATGTCTTCAGTGAGTTGATATCTCTCAACAGACCTGTTTGAATTCCACTGGTCTTTGCTTCTCACTAGAACTCCAGGAAATACCTCATGGAACCAGTGAGCATATGATCATTATCCGAAGGAATTTTTGTGGAGATTTTAGTAATTTTATATAGTTGAAATCATGAGTCAACTGAAGTTAGACATTGAAGTTAGACATTAACACCGTCGGATGCCGGCTCAGTGGTCTAGAGGTTAGTGATTCGCGTATGAGCCTTGAAGTCCTGAGTTTTGACCTCGAGTACGGAACCGTGGATGGGCATTGTTGAGGAGTCACATATTAGGACAAAATTGCCGTACATTGCTCTCAGGTTTTCAATAGTGGCCTAGTACTGATCGTTTCATGATCTCAATAAAAATAAAATTTAACATCTTGAATGAATGTCAGTCGGACTTTTTACTGATAATTATAAATCATAATGAAGGTATAATGTAAATGACGCGTAAAAATAACATAACTATCTGATCATGGCAATGATAAGTTTATCAGACATTCTATCTGTATTAAAAGGTCAAATCAAAAGCGCTTGATGTCAATGGCCTCCATAAAACGGAATAAAAGTGGTATAAAATCCCCGTTAATTATTTTAAAATACTTTTGAGACATTCATTGGTTGTTTGGTAATCGCATCTACGGTTGATTATAATATTTCTGTTGCAAATTAAGGCCGTTTGCCAATGATGAGAAGCTTTGAAATATAATGAATTTGTTATTCTGTAAATACGGTTCTCTTTGCTTAATTTCAAAGTTTTCAAGAGATCGGGATGTATGAAATTCGTAATAGACAAACGTTAAAGTTGATAATCTTGCAATTGACACTTAAAGAAAACAAGCATTAATTTAAATATATTTTTAAAATGCCTTTGTGATGATATTTCTACCTAAGAAATCAATATGGAGGGCAGAGTTTAAGTGGTTTGAATAATTTTTCCTGGTTAACGTTTTTTAGCAAATTACTGGATGGGGTCGCTAACCCCATGTCCAACCCTCCTCCTTTACGACCGGCTGTAGCCCCCCCCCAGAAGAGCTACATTCGAAGTACTGATGTTTCTTATAACATTTAAATCCTCCCCATTACATTCAATTATTAACTTTATAATTGAGTATAAATCTAATACTTTTATTAATCGCTTTATCATTGTATTTATAGTTAATAACATTACATAGAAACAATATTTGGCAATCATCATTTACTGTCTTATATTGTAAACAGAAGTAAAGAAAAAAAAAGTATATTCTAAGATTGTCTATTTATAATTTAACAAAACTGTATAATTTTATTTATTTTCTGACATAAATCTGACTTAGTATTAAGAAACTTAAGTTTAATCATAGAAGGAGTTTATGTGTGTGTGTGTGTATGTGTGTAATAGATTCTAGACAATTTTAGGAGAGTAATATCATATATGAACAAAGTTTATAGTGTATTTTCCAAAATACATCATTTTGGCGTATTATGAAATGGTAAATTATAGGTGTTGTGTATGTTAATTATGGTTGTCAACACAAGTAATATATAATGCAAATTACAATTTAAATGAATGGTAACACAAGGTTGACAAGATTAAATCGAAGAGAATGGGAACAGATAGTGATTGCTATGACAATGAAGGAATAAAGAAGTTTGAATCATTTGATGGAGGATATGCAAATGAAGTATTGAATGTATGATTATCATATTTTATGAAAGAACTCTGTGATTGAGTGTTGATATATATTTGGTTGGCCCTGACACTGTATTCTCGTTTGTTAAGAAAGTATAGCCTGCATGGAAAGAAATGACAATTGATTCTGGCTCAGTAGTTTAGAGGTTTGGCGTTCGTGATTGAGACCAAAGGTTCTGGGTTCGACTCCGTGAATTGCGGTTATGAATGTACACTACTGAGGGGTCCTATACTGGAACGGAACGACCCTCCAATGTTTTCAAGTCTTCACTGATGATCTAGTTTATATCAACTAGTGAATTCCACTTTCAAAATTGAAAACAAATCAAAATGGCATTTGTTGTATGTAAATGATGTACAATTGTAATGAAAATTAAGTTAATTTTTGTATGATTTATACAAGATTTACAAACTAATGAATACAAAACAATTAAATAACACTGGAACAATTAGTGATATTTGATTATAAGCAAATTATCATCACACAAAAACATGCAAGTAATTCTCATCAGGTTTTACACTTAACCACTCAGAAAGCCTTCTTGAATATCTGAACTACCTAATACTGACATCTAGATATTTTAAAAAGTTAACCCATAGCCTATTCAATTGCATTTATGAAAAATTTACAACCTTTCCTTGTACAATTTACAAAAAAGTACAATCATAGACATTATGGTGGTTTACAATATGTATTTGAAAAGAATGAACATTGTTCAGAAGTAGATTCCTAAAACTGCGCACATCTAACTGGAGATCATTCAATATCTATCGTCAGAATTGATCAAGAAGTAAGAAATGGAAACTTGTTGAAATACTTTGTGCTAAAAATTCTATATTATACCAAAAATATAATATTGAGTAAACCTAATATAATAATAATAATAATTCAAATTAACTATCCGAATAGATTAGCCAAGATTGAAATAATTGAAGCTTTGAAAATAATAACATATGAATAATGAAAATAATACATATATTTAAAATAAGATAAATGTAAGCAAAGATGAATAGTGGCTAGCAGTGGAATCCAGAACGTGTGTTTCGTCCTATTTGGGACTTGTCAGCTGGATGTACCTACATCTCAGAGTTGATGTTCACTCTGGTACTCGAACCCAGTACCTTTCGCTTCAAACGTCATCGCGTTATTAAGACTATATCGAGGCAATACTCACAGTATGCACATATGCCAATTAGAGACTGACCAGTTGCAGTCCTAAACATCAATGGGAAGATTCAAACAAACAGTCACAAGTGAAGATAAATGTAAGTTATAAAAACTCGAATAAAGGGAAGGTTGTATATTGATTTATCAGTATTATATTATCACTGAAATGAATATTGACTTATTATGACTTGGGATTGTAAAGAAAAGAGAGTGGTGATACATTTTTTTTCTGTACATAAAGATCTGATTGTTTTTTATGTGTTCGACTGCTGATTTTGATGTTTGAAGGATTTTGAGTTTAATAGATTTTTATAGATAATTACTTACACGATAAGTTACTGTAAAAGGTTGATTTATGCCGATGGTCAAAGAACATATAAAAATGAAAACAACTGTCATCCGATATCAAAATCAGAATCTTCAATACGAACTTCATGACAGTCCTACTGTATGGAGCTGAAACGTGGAGACCTACTATAACCATCGTCAAAAAGGTACAATTATTTATAAACAGTTGTTTACGCAAAATACTCAACATTCACTGGTCGAATACCATCAGCAACAGCCTTTTATGGGAGAAGACAAACCAGCTTCCAGCTGAAGAGGAAATTGGTAAAAAAAACGTTGGAAGTGGATAGGACATACATTACAGAAATCAACAATGTGCATCACGAGGCAATCGCTAACCTGGAATCCGGAAGGGAAGCGGAAAAGAGGAACGTCAAAGAACACTTTACGCCAGGAAATAGAAGCAGATATGTAAAAGATGAATGGTATTTGGAAAGAACTGGAAAGGATTGCTCAGGACGGAGTTGGATGGAGAATACTGGTGTGCGGCCTATGTTCCTCGACTAGGGGTAACAGGCGTAAGTAAGCAGTTAAGTAATACAGATAGTAAGATTGAGCCGTTTATGGTTTTCAACACATCAATTAATCACCCTGAAAAGTTTTAATAAGGAAAAACTTATGGATTCCTGAAATATCGGAGGACATAAGTTTCTTAATAAGTGTGGTTAAATTGATATATATAAAAGAAGGTGCCAACATCTTCATCTCCATTCATCACCATCGGGCTCATGAAAAACAATAATTGTAGATTCTATTCATTAAAAACTGGATATAGGGTTTTATTATATCTTCGGATTAGTATATCGACCACGAATCTTAGACATATACACAGCGATTACTTATTCAAGGTTTGGATGTCTTCAAGTATGTTTATTCATCTACTTTACAAAGGCATTCATCTTCCCTGATCGTATAAATGATAGTGTTTAATCAATATTCAACCGTATCAGTATTTCGAATGGATGTTGTATACACCGGCTAATATATAGCAAACTCATGACAGAAAGACAAATTTTTATTTTCATTTTACGAGATATTTCTTGATCAGACCATCATTGAAAACCTGGTTGAAATGGACGACTGTTTCATCCTAGTTTGGGACTCCTCAGTAGTGATTCGTAACCCCGCATGTGGGAATCGAACCCAGGATCTTCGATCTCGCTCACGGACGCCTAAACCACCGACATGGTGTCAATGTCTAGCTTCAATCGATCCATGATTCATTGTCTAAGATGGATAACCGTCTCACATTCAATACTGACTGAACTCCACTGGTCACGGTTTCTCACTAGAACTCCGGAAGTTCCCATTTCAGAAACAAAATGCAACCATGAGGAAAAAGGATCAATTTTTTCTAGAAGGTATCATGCGGTTCTTATTTGGGATTCGTCATGTCATCAGTGGGAAGATTCAAACAACCAATACAAAAATGAATTAAATCTTCTCATTTTACAGAGTAGTGGTTATCAGAACTTGGTAGTTAAGTGGATACTTTGATGTCGTTTGAAGCGAATGGTACTTGGTTTGAGTCCCGGAGTAAGAATCAACTCTAGTATGTAAGCATATCCATCTGACGAGTCCCAAACAGGACGACATTGCTAACCACCGTCTATCTTTGTTTACTTGTCTTACACCTAAATGAAAACCTTGTTAGATAATTATTAGAACAGCTAATGTATGAAAATATCTGAATAGGTCTTCGAAAACATTCTAAAAGCGCGAATACTAGTATATTTAACCAAGCATTAGTTTGATTTTGATACTGATACATATACTACCTATAGACAATCCTAACCTGTTAGTTGAGTGAGAAGATAAAGACACAATAAGAAGTTGTATCAGCATTCGAATCAAAGATACATACTAAATCAGTAATATATTTATGAGTCCCGTGGATAATTGAGCCAAATCTCAGAAGTGATTGTTCATCTATGGACAACACTCATCTAACATTTCACTCTGACCTAGCTTGTGGGCACAGTGACGTAATCTGACGGTATTGATTCAGATGATCACCTCTTTAACCTGATAATTCGGTCTTCACAGCTGGTTGTATAGTAAGTAGTGGCAAATATAATGTGTGTCAAGTCCTTTTTGGTGCTATCAACTACATCCAGCTACCTTATAAATTGGTATTCCTTCTGAAGTGTATATCTAAAGACTGGGGTGAGGGATACATCAAGTTCTAATGAAACACATTTATATTAATGTAACTAGTAAAGCGTATTTCAGTTCAGAAGTTAGTGAACAGTTTTTCAGGGAAACACAATATTTTATTCGTAGAACGTAAAGCAATGGTAGATTGTTAAACAACAAAGAAGTCTCTTAGTCATTGATCTTCAGCTTAAACTATCCGGAAAGGCATCATATTTGAGATGATTGAAATATTAATTAGATATCCACTCGTAATTTAATTTAGATGATTTGGAACTTCGTTTCAATGTACATATTGATTAAAGTATTTGTAGGAGATCGCGCCTTTGTAACAAGATCCAGACTCAGCTTCATTGTTTGACCTGTTCTGGTTGTGTAGTACTTAACAGTTAAGATTTTCATAATTAACTTGGAAGTTAAATAATTAACGAGTAATATTTTGGACAAAATTATACATGACTGTATGTTACCACTGATGATGCTACACTTTTGAATAGGTATTTAACATCAAACTTTGATTTATTTTAGGCATAGAGTTCAGTAGTATTTGATGGGGAATTAAATGTTATGGTGAACTTGTATCTAAATAAATGGACAGCTGATGAAACTTTTATTTTCAAATACATAGAATGGAAGGTACGTTTTGATTACTTCATTCCTTAATCATAGATGGTTTCATTCAGATATTGAGATGTGTTTATATAAGCACCTACACTTTTAAAGAAAATCCGAATTTAGTCACATCTACTGGGTTTACACTCTGTACTTCACCGTATATTTTACAGCCAATTTAATATCCTTACTTTTTCGGTGCCAGGTCAGTGGTCTATCGGTTAAGTGCTCTGGTGCGAGACTGTTAGGCCCTGGGTTCGAATCTCGCGAGGCGGGGTCGTGTATGCACACTGCTGAGGAGTCCCATAGTAGGACGAAACTACTGTCCAGTGCTTCGAGGTTTTCCATGGTAGTCTAGCTTGAATTGACTTATGATTTCAACTATGGAAATAATTTATCACTAACACTTAGCTATAATGCAATACATCTAAGTTACTGTGATTCCAAATCATTTATTTTAAATTTCTCAATATTTAAATGATCTCTTAATGAAGACTTTCTCGCATAAAGTATTGCTCGAATTCAGTTATTAAATTAGCGAAACTGTTGTCTCTGTTCAAATAATGTTTATATTTGTATTTAAAACATGCAATATGGTTGATACACAATGAGCATTTTTTAAAAATTTTTCACTTAACACAAATACATGTTTGTGTTACTATTCCCTGTATCATATTTGAAGTGGCAAATTCATTCCATGTACTTATAATTGATGGCCAAATTGGTTTTGGTATTTGTTTTGGCACGCCTGGTTTCTGAGTTGGTGTAGTTCCAGGACGTTTAGTAGTAGTAGTAGTAGTAGAAGGACGTTTCGTAGTTGTAGGACGTTTCGTAGTTGTAGCGTAACATTCATCTTGTGATTTTGCTTCGTAAGGATAACGACCTTCATAGTTTCCTCTAAATTGGATGATAAAATACAAAGTAATATAAAATGGAATTATTCTTTGTTGAACTTATATATAATTTATTGAATAGAAACATCTTTATGTTATAACTGTAATGTTTAACAGAATAATAATAATTGGTATTAACCATTAATATTGATTTACCCTGGGCCATAATTACAAACCACGGATAATCCATATGGAAAACTATAAAATCCAGTACAATTTGTAATGCCACAACCAACATGAGTAGTATTTTGCCATACTAACTAAAATAAATGAATACATTTTGAAATAAACAATTTGTTTAAATGAAGAAAAAAGTACTTCACTTATTTCAAATGTTCCTAGTTGATCGAGCTTTTTACTGTGCAGCTTCATAGTCTGAGATGTCATGTCTAAGATATCATGATCATAAATAAAGTTCTGTAGGACTAATATGTTCAAAAATCGGACGACATTTAGTGCAAAGTTTTTTTCTGTTGACTATCTCCCATAATCTGATAACTCAACATAGTAAACGTAGTGTTGAGTCACTTATACTAATAGAATTGGATAAGGATTAAGGGACTGGTGAAATACTGAATATCCAATAGAAAAAAAACTGATATTGACGACAAAAATGTATATTGTAAACGATATCATAACTTATAAGAAAAGAAGAATAGTGGCTAGCAGTGAAATGCAGGACGCGCGTTTCGTCCTATTTGGGACTCGTCGGCTGTATGTACCTGCATCTCAAAGTTGATGTTCACTCAATAACAAGATTCGAACAAACAATACTAAGAAGATATCGCAACTTGTTTTTAGGTAAGTTTTTTAAAAAAATAAAAAAATTAATTAAATGTTTGGATAGATGTCTTTAATAATAATAACAAGAAAAGAGGGAAACTTCAGCTGTATTTATTTGAGGTTTAACCAGAAATGAGACAATGTCGTTAACATGACTTACTGATTTAAATATATTCAGTATGACACTAATCATTTACTTCATACATTTCATGTATAAGTGAATTAGATTTTAAGTGAAGTGAGACCCATAGTGTTTTCCAAATAATAACTAAGTATATATACATATAGTGGTATAGTAGAGTATACTGGCTAATCAGTATCATAACAATCTCATTAACATAAGATGGTGGTTGGAGGTGGTCAACAGGAAACCCTGGACGTAGGTTTCATGCTACTTGGCACTCATCAGCAAGGTGTACCAGTGATCTTGAGGGAACTGGTGCTCCCTGACTGGTTCGATCCCTTGTCACCCACCTTCATAGCTAGAGACATTACCACTGATCAATCAATTACATTACATCACAGTCCTATAGGAAGTCGGTCGCGGCCCGGATAGCTCAGTGGTAACGCCCCTGACAGTGAAGCTGGGTAACATGGGATCGAGTCAGTCAGGAAGCACCGATTCCATAAAGATTAAATGTACACCTTGATGACGAGTGCCAAGTAACACGAAACCCGGGTACAGGGTTTTCTGTTGACCACCTTGAATCACCATTTTGTCTCATCATAGTGCACAAAGTGTCGAGTCACCTAGACTAGTGGTCACATTGCAGCTTGATCAATGGCATTCAATCTGCACTAAGAAAGACTTGACACCACTCAGTGGTCAATCAATCGTGAATACATCTCAGCCCTACAGGAGGTCGGTCACGGCCCGGATACCTCATTAACACTTTAGTAAAGTTATTCTGGATTACGTTTTCTTTCTTTCTTAAATATTAAGTTATTTCATAATAAACTAACAGTTAAAATTTGTTACTCATCTAGTTTTTGGTTAATTCAAGTTTATTCATAATAATTTACTTGAGTATAATGTCCACAAACTCCAGAACAACTCTTTGAATAATAGTTATACTGTTTATATTCATCTTTCCATGCATCAAATGCTCTAAAACAATTATTAGATCATAAAATTAGAATATAAGTAATATCATTTACTGTTCAATTGTTTGATATCCTGCAATATTTTGACCAATATATTGCCATTTTTCAGGTAAATCAACATCATTATGATGAAAATAACATTCATTTGCTAAATCTTTAGCTTTTGAAGCCAGTTCATTATCCCATTTCTATGAAAGAAAGAAAAAAGAAACAATCCTGTTTTATATATATGTATATATATATATATATATATATATATATATATATTTAAACACATAAATATTGGTACAAGGAAGCACCAGATATATATGCGCCACACAAATCTCATTCGATTTGTGTGAGGGCTATGATACTTCCCAGGTGCCCAAATCGAAGCAGGTGGTTTTCTTAGAGGGCCACATCCGGAGCCTTTGACCTGAAGGTCTGATCCACAAGGCAGTGGAGCATCGTGAGGAGATGCAGTCCCATGGTAGCCGGTGATCAACGATTGGTTCGTACACCATTTGTTCCCTCAGGATACTAGAGTCCATGTGCACCATTGGTTTGGAATCAGGGCTTTTCAACTCTCCAGGTGAACTTTCAGTGTCCACCAACCCGGTTAAATCGCCGCACATTCGTTTTTCGTCCTCTCAGTTTTGTAAACAACACCCTCGCCACTGTGAGAAGGCAGTGAGTAGGACTTCCCTGACAAAGAATATATGCGCGTGGCGATGTGAGAGCATTTTCGAGGGAGATCGGACTCTCCCCACTCTCGGCTGTACCAGGGCGTTTGGGGACACATCTATATATAACAGGTAAACTTACAAGATCTGGAAGATTTTTCGCTGGAGGTTGTCCCTCGAGTTTACATGCTGTCAAATTACGTCTAAGTTCATTATGATATTGCAAAAGTTTTCGAAGTTGAGCATCTTTTGGTTGTGTGAAGACAATTTTTCCTTTTATATAAATTGACAATAAAAATATGTATAAAATCTGTTTAAATTTCATTTTATTACTGTGATGTTGAATAACAGACAATTTATACAATGCCTTAGATATAAAAAAACAACAACAACAACAAACAACCAGTACTCTTTTAATGTGATTTGGCAGACTGCATTTTTTTGTAAAACAAATACTCTCTTAGATTAAATATGAATCTTTTGATTTCAGCCTATGAAATTTGTGTATGCCAAATTACTGTTTTGTGTTTTTTTCTCTTTTTACCAGAATGATTGATTTCATTGACATGTTAACTATAAGCAGAATCATTTATGGAGCTTCGTTCTGCAATCCAATATTAAAATGAAACCTACGTTTCTCTAAATTCAAAGTTATAAGTTTCATTTAAAGTTGAGATCATAAGTCAATTGAAACTAAACCACTGGGGAAAACCTGGAAGCAATGGACGGTCGTTTCGTCCTACTGTGTAGTCCCGCTGTGGAATGAAACGGCCATCCAGTGCTTACAGGTATTCCACGGTGGTCTAGCTTCACTTGAATCATGATTTCAACTTTATATAAAAATTACTTAAAATCTCCACAGAAAATCTCCTTATATGTTTCACTTGATGTTAGTGGGATATAGATTGGATTAAGCATGTTTTATGCATGATGGTGTTGCTGCGCGCTGATTGGTTAATTTTAAACCGATCAGCCCGGGCATATTATTGCAGAAAAATCTATAAGCTTCTTATGCATATACTATAAATATATGAACGATATTTAAACTATTGATTGCTGATTGCTGATTGCTGTTCACTTATTATTATTATTTTGAATACAATTTCATTCCTGTTCAACCTGTTCTGATTTTGGTGTCTTGTCGAGTGTCATCGTATAAGAATACTAAGCAATAGGAATCGCTGGGTCGTTTATATAGCAACAATCACAAATATAACACTTGAATTATTAATTCATCCATATAATTGTACAACTTACATACATACATACTTACTTACTCACACCTGTTACCCCTCGTCGGAGGGCATGGGCCGTCCACCAGCATATTCCATCCAACTCTGTACTAGTTAACCCTTTAAAATAGTTTCCACCAATTGGGTATTTATAGTTTCTATTTCTTCAATCTTCTCAACAACATTTCGTTTCAATATGTGTCCATTCATAGTCATGATATATTTTGAGTGGAATCTAGGATTTTGAGGCAGTGCATTGGGCACTTAATCTTTAGATAAATGTGTTGGGTACCAACAGTTCACATTTCTGATTTTCGATATTGTATTAATCCAGTTCCAATGATGTTATGCCGGTAAATCTCTGTCATAATTCACAACTATTTCCATGTAGGTAATTTATTCAAATGGTTTGAATTCTTTTTTTCTGGTTATCGTATTTTTAAGGAGTTCGTTTTCTACGGGATGGGGTCGAAAACACCATGCCCAACCCTCCTCCTTTATCCGGGTTTGGGACTGGAAAAGAGGAAGACCAAAGAACACATTACTCTGAGAAATGGAGACAGACACGAGAAGAATGAAGGAAAATTGGATAGAACTAGAAAGGAATGCACACGACAGAGTGGATTGGGGAATGCTGGTCAACGGCCTATGCTCCGTTGGGAGTAACACGCGTAAGTCAGTAAGTAAGTAAGTAATTTATTCAAAGTATCAAATTTTACATTGTCATTCTTTTTTTTATAATGACAACATAAATAGATATCCTATGTATTCACAGTTTCATTGATCTCAACACTCATTACGTGGACAAGTGGATAACTCATTGATACATTCAATAATTTCAGTTACTTTACCGTTCATCCTTTGCATCTCTACTTTAATCAAACAAAAGGAAAATATACAATGACTATTCAAATATCATAAAACAAGGAATTAAGTAATCAGTAGTCATTTGGTATTTTAATTATGACTTAACAAAACAAATTTTACAGTTGAATTATTATTGGAGTATGTTTTATTGTTAATGCAAGCATTCCTGATTTTAAAAGAAGAACACTTTCTGTAAACAAGATTACTTACTTAGTTACTTACGCCTGTTACTCTAAATGAAGCATAGTCCGCCGACCAGCATTCTCCAACCCACACTGTCCTCGGCCTTCCCTGCTAGTCCTATCCACTTGTTGTTCATTCTTCTCACGTCTGTCTCCATTTCTCGGCGTAATGTGTTCTTCGATCTTCCTCTTCTCCTTTGGCCTTCACGATTCCATGTGACGGCTTGTCTTGTGACGCAGTTCGGTAATTTCCTCAATGTATGGAAACAAGATATTGTCATGAAAAAGCAACAAAAACACAAATTATCGATGTTTCTTGAATGATGAGGCATTCATATGTCGATTACACTAAAAAATACCGTCAAAGAAAATCCATTTTCTAATTAGTTTCAATGATAAATTCCAGTCAGAAAACAGCACTCTATTTTGACAAGAAGAAACATTACTGTTTAATAGAAGTAGATTAATCACAACGTTCAAAATGAGATAGTTTCCAAAATAATATTGAATGATCAGAAGTGGATAAATTACTGTACTAAGTAGGATAAGCTATGAAAGAATAATACGAATTACACATGGACGACTTTAAAACAAATAATGAAACTAACTCAAACTATTGAATACAAATGAGTAGTACAGAAAAAACATAACAAAGAGTAAGCACCGAATAACTATCATTCTGAGTGAAAAATATTTGACATTTTACTATGTGGAATAGTTTGTAAAACATTTACTGATATATACACGTATGATTGTGACTGAGTCTGTACGACTCATATCGACTCATATCCCAAGTCATTTGGAAGTCTGTGTCGGAATTTCCTATTTCCAAACTTAGTCTTTTTGTGATAATTAACAATCATACTTTATAACTATTCTCAATCTAAAATCACTAATCAATCAAATCCACTTTTTGTAAACGACTTCTTTAAAATTTACTGATCAAATATCATTTTAAGATGTAAAATGTCTATGAAAAAACTCAGTTACTATATGAATTAAGCTCTCTACATCTCCTAAGAACTAATATATCAACCAAAAACAATCTTTATTCTGCAAAAGCAGGATGATTTCGGTCAATATTTTCAAAATATCATTCCTCCAAAAGTGATCAACAAACATAAGAAGACCGAATAAAGTCTCTACTAAGAGTACCTAGTTCTTCTTCATGAAATATCACTGGATTTGAAGCGGTGAAACACAATGTTTTCTTTAACTTTGTGCTCCTTAACTGTAGATAAAGATAACATTATTATAGAATCGAGAAGCCGTGACTTGCGTAGTTCAGTCCATGTCGAGTGTGAGACCAATATACACCTGAGGGAACGGATGACGTGTCTCGCTAGACTATGGATTGATTGGAATTAGACATTAACATTGTTGAATGTCAGGTTTGTAATTTGAAGGTTATTTGTTCGCGCATGAGACCGAAGGTCTTTTGTTTGAGTCTCGTAGGAGCGTGGATAAGCACAGGTTTGTAGTCCCATACTAGAACGAGACGACCGTTCAGTGCTTCCGGTCGTTCAATGGTGGTCAGTTGCGAAAATACTCCAATCGCCACAAATCCCCATAGGGATATTTCGAAAAGTTGTATTGTTTTTTATTTAATTAACTTCCTCTTAGTTATGTTTAAGTATTATTTAAAGATTTTGAGAAGACTAGTTTAATTATCAGGAGAAATTCGTCGTAGGCTGACATTATTTTAAAACCAGTGAAAACTAGTCCGATGCTTCGTCTTACTATGTGATTCCTCTTTGAGACCTTTTCGGAGATCATACTCACAACTGTTGTTCTCATTATTATTGAAACCATTTCTCACTAGTGAATTTCCTAGAGACAAATTTTCAAGGTTCAAATGAAGCTCCTGAATGACGCAGTTTGGTTATGTTGGTAACGGGAGAGTGTTTCACTATAGAACCCCATAATACACATGCTATAACGAAAGTTCATTGAAGTTAGGAATGTCAATCATCGGTTTGTAACTGAGTGGTCTGATAATGAACCATTAGCAACATAACCTCAACGTTGTTAGTTAAATCCCTAATGATATCAGTCGGAGTACACATTTGAGAACTCTACAAAAAAGTTGAAACCAGTCTATCTCTCCCATGTTGTAATCTCTACCGCAATGTCAATCTATGATATAACGCAATTACTTTACTTCCGTTTATTCATGTCATCTCACTAAAATGTGTAACATTTTCCAACTGGCATCTCTTAATCTTTACAATGTGAAAACAATCAAGCTATGGGGAATCATAGACTATGCAAATAACTAACATCTATATCCAATTCAATTTTTTCACTTATTTTCGAATTCGAGAAACTATAAACTCTCTTAAGTTTTCAAGAAATTATGGAGAGATTGGTTCCCATTAATTAAATTTTTCATATAGTGAATCTGATATTCCATGGCTTTTGTAGAATATGCTACGTATATCTGTTAACATAAATAGTATGTAGCATCAACCAGAAGTAGAATGCATGGTAACGAAAGGTTGTGAAGATTGAAGTGAAGAGAAAGGAAATGTAAACATACAGTAATTGTATTAACAACAGGAATGATGGGATGACGATGCTTGTAAGAGACAATTGATGAAATGTGTGGAAGTGAAGTATTTTATGTATGGTTTTTGTACTTTACGAAGACATTCTGTGGTTTGCATTGACTAACAAAATTGGCTATTCCCAAATCTTCCTTCACTCCTACTAATAATGTTCACACAATCTTTAAAACTAGACATTTATCCTAATAGCTGGAAAACAACATATACAGTACTGCATTTTTAATCTGGAAATATGACCAACATTCACAAATATACGTTTATAAATAACAAGACTATAGCAGTACTCTTACGGTTAATTTCGATTATGGTTAATTTTGCCAAGCCCTTTTATGGACATTTTTTAACAGACAGTGTTATTCGTACAATAAAAATTCGTCTTTGGCTGTGCATTACTATAATCACTATCATGTCTGTATAATGGTGTCCGCTTGATCACACGTGACAGCCCACGCACATATATCTTTCTAGCCTAAATATTATCGCTCAATCAATCATTCTCTTTCCACATATATAATAGTATGCGCTCGCATCCTACTAATAGCCTTCCCATTACCTTGCTGTGCTTTAATTCGATTTAACTACAAATCGACCTTTGTATTCACTCGTTCACACAGGTTAGTCTCTTTGCTCCAGTTCAGTCGATGAGCTTGCAACTTGGTTATCTGTTCTATACTCTAATAAACTGTAGTCACCACTTCTTATTGTTTTCTGAATTCCAACACCGTTAGGACTTATGTAATAACGGTTATCAAGGTGGTTGATTAACGAATCTCAGCCACTACAAGATAGTTATCTTCATAATTATACGGAAAAACGTATAAGATCAAATATCCGATCATGCATATCAAAAGCTTTTTCTTAATTATTCAGAATATGGATCCGTTAAATTAAAAAAAATTGAATGACTTAACAATGTGATTTGTTTTACCTAGCCTTCATTAGACATAAATTTAGACAACTAGTCTTCACGTTGAACTTTGACGAATACCAAGTTTCCGATATGGCTAAATGTCAGTTCTCTAAAGTCAAATTCGAATCGTAAGTGATCAGAGATTGACTGACTGTATAAGATTGAGCTCTTTACACAGTCACTGATAATAAATAATTGAGAAAGCTACTGTTTGATGTCAGTTACAAGATAAGTAACAGTAGATGATACATCAGACCATTTGTCTTCTATTCATGGATTATTCATAAGTAGAATATATCGTATTCAGGAATTAGTTTAATAGATCTAAGAAATGTGAATGTAGTAGATAACGACAGACTGTGAATCAACTCGACACAGCTAATGAGAATAGAGCAAAACAAATTCAAATCATAATAAAGATACACGTAATGCCAAATAATATTGATCGAGATAGTAGTGAGATAGAGCAGTGTACTTGATGTGTTGGCGAGAATGATAATGATTGATTGTTTTGCTGAGTCAGACATGTAGATAGTGTGACAAGTGTTATATGTGTTATAGATTCCCCTATCCTGATCGTTATTGATAAACTATTCTTGTTGTTGGATTGTGTCAGATTTTGGTGTGGAAATATAATGATATTGTATTCAGGCTAATCTCGTGTTCTTGATCTGAGTTGTGTTGAAGTTCTGTAGAAAAGACACTGGGTAGGAATCCAGTGTAGATATTCGTCTAAGGTAAATTAACGTCTCACATACGTTTAAAAAGTGAAAAGACGGTTATAACAAGAAATCCCAGATGTATAACAAGCATCCTACCGTTTATAACAGTACTATTAACAATATACATCGACAATAAGCAAGAAGTGATGATTGAATTAATTCTGCTTTAAAATGTATTACTTTAACTGATATGAACGAAAAAAGTACATCAATGTTTCAAACACTTAACAAGTGTTGAAGTATCAAGTATATTTGACAAATAAATTCATTTCATTTCCAGGATAATTAATATCTACTTCTCGACTGTTTGCGTTGATTGCGATCTTTACGTCCATTTTGAACAATCCATGACACCTTTTTTTGGCTTTGCTTTATTGGCTTCTGTCCATGTTGTGTATGAGCACGACTAGTTTGTAAACTGTTTTTAGGAATATTTTGCACTTTTGGGCACATATTACGTGGTTTCACTTCATATGGTTTCTCATTATTCCAATTACCCCTAAAACAATCAACACAATAGAAGTTCAGTTACATTCACTATGAGAATAACAACAAGGTAATTGCAAACAATAACATTTCTTATCACATAATCAACAATCACTTACCCTGGACCATAGTTGCACACGATTGATAGACCATACCGTGGACATTTCGCAACTCCACATCCAATGTCTGTGGTCTTGGCCCAAGCCACCTGAAACGGAATATGAACAAGGAAATAATGTGATCGGTCGATCAATTGCAAAACTCTACATTGTGTTTCAATATGATATGTGTAGTTACACTACTTGTAGGTGGAGATAATATTGTCACCTCAAAGAGATACATGTGAAAATTCCAGTGTGTGTTCAATGAATATGTTTACACTTGGTGCAGTTATGACAACTAATTGAATTCTACACAATACTCACTCACTCACTCACTGATTCGATGATTCTGTCTCATGTGAACAGTCGGAATCATCTCACTGATCACAACATCATGATTTTCCATCTATTCACAATGAATTTCTATTGATTTGCTTCAAATGTTTTCTTTGTGAATAATGTTGACAGTGTGATTAGCATTTAAATTAGGATTTGAATCCACTCGTCAGTCGTAATACACACTGGTCAGACACAAATTTCCTATCTGTTGTTTTACACCGAATCACTCTACCTCTCAACCAAACACTCATCATCAAAAATTATCAAATGTTTTGATTACCTATATGTGAATAACTGCAATGATCGGATTACGTGCATTTGCATTTGTTTTTGAGTCACTTCTATACAAATGTGAAATCACTTCATTGTTATCACACATTCGTTGTGCGTTATTATTATAGGTGTGAAGGGTGAGTAGGATATGACTATAGGGAAAATTATATTCAAGTGGATGAGAATGGACTCACTTGTGTGTAATGCAAACATTGAGGACAGTTGTTCGTATTGTAATTGTATAATTTGTGTTCATTGAACCAAGCATCCACTCCTCTGAATCAGAAATCAGTGAATAGAATGTGGATGAGCTTACGACTTAATGGTTGGATGGAGAGCGATATTTTGTCCAACCCAAATGAATTGTTTCGAATATCGTTTGTCGTGTTGTAGGGTGCAATTTATCGCCAATGACTGTGCTTGTCGAGCTAAATCGTGATTCCACTTCTACAAATAAGGGTTACGTGTTTGATATTCGAAGAAATGATTGAATAGTAACTTACCAATGGTGACATATATTTAGCTGGAGGTTGTCCATCAACTTTACAGTCAACTAAATCTTGTCTGTATTTTCTATGCAGTTCAAGTAATTCTTCACTGTTTTTATCTAAGTTCTCGTTAGTATTAGCACCATAGACATAAATTATCAGAACGTATATTATCAGTTTCTTAAACATTTACTTTTCTTGTATAATTTTGTAGAAACTATTTAAAATGATGATTTCCATGCCCTTTTTATTTGTATTTCGTGGAAATGATCTGAATTGACCCTTTTCTGTACATGTTCACGTTTGTTTATCAACATCTTTCTAAACTGTATTATTTCAATATTCTCACTGGAAAAATCTAATTGTTTTAATCATATGTGTTCAATAGTACAAACTTGCTTGATGAGTAAACAATAGGATGGAATGATGTCAATGATAATCTAATATGTTGCCTGAATAAGATTTCTGAATTTAGAAAAGTATTCACCTTAATTAGTTGTCAGTAATGTTGGTTATTCACTAAAATGTATATATAATAAATGGAGATTAACTTACTTACTTTCTCCTGTTACTCCCGATGAAACATTGGCCGCCGACCAACATTCTCTAACCCCCACTGTCCTGGGCCTTCCTTTCTAATTCTATCCAACTTTTGTTAATTCTTCTCATATCTGTTTCAATTTCTCAGCGTAATGTGTTCTTCGGTCTTCCTTTTCTTTTTTGGCCTTCACAATTTCAAGTGAGGGCTTGATTTGTGACACAGTTAGGTGCTTTCCTTAATGTGTGTCCTATCCACTTCCAGCATTTTTTCCTGATTTGTTCTTCCGCTGAAATCCGGTTTTTTTCTCTTCCACAGTAGGTTGTTGCCTTTGAAAACAAAAATGTATGCTATTAATTACTGCCTCCCACATTCACAGCCATACTGGCCTACATCTTGTACAAATATTGTTTTGTATTTTATGGTACGATGTGGTCAGTTTGACTGCTATATAAACTCAGTATGTTTGAAATATAATGTTTTATACCGTAGAGGCTGTCCTGGACTTAACTGACTAGGTTAAGCAGATAACAGGACCGATAAGTACTTAAAACTGTTCGTATGGTTTTCGTGTGTCACTGTTCCAATCGATAATTCACTGCTCTCTGATTGGCGGTCTTATCATATCATACGTTAACATAGGATCCACTCGTCCACAAGTTATAACATTCATTTAAATTCATTGTTCACATTTATGACTAATGCTAATTTTACATTTAAATTTTTACTAGTTATAATACATTTATTCTAGTAATTCCTGATAACTTCCAATAATAATATTCAAGATTAATGCTTACGTTGAAGTAATACGGAATTAAATGTGTAATTTAACGTACTTATCCTCAAAGAGAAGATTATGCTAGGTTAAGAAAGAGTGGACTTTTGAAACATATATCTGGATACTGCTATGAATGGCTAACTACAATAAATATAAGTTATTAGAAGGGGTTTTGTGGAAATTTGGTATGTTTCATAGTTGAAAGCATGAGTTAATTGAAGCTAGACCACCGAGGAAAACCTGGAAACACTGGACGGCCGTTTCGTCCTATTATGGGACTTCGGGAAGTACATCCAGGAGCTCTAGTGAGAAGCAGTAACCAGTGGAGTGCAAACCACGTCTGTCGTGAGATAGGAACTCACTGATGACAATTGGTGAATGGTTGCTCAACTTCGTGGATCAGTTGAAGTTAGACATTAACACCGTTGGATGCCAGCTCGGTGGTCTATCGGTTAAGGGCTTCGGCTCGAGAATGGTAGGTCCTGGGTTCGAATCTCGCTCGCGAGAGCAGGTTCGTGGATGCGCACTGCTGAGGAGTCCCATAATAGGACGAAACGGCCGTGCAGTGCTTCGAGGTTTTCGATGGTGGTCTAGCTTCAATTGACTCATGCTTTCAACTATGAAATATAAGTTAGTCAATAGCTTCTTTTTTGAACAGTTAATCAACTCTGATCTGATAGTGTCACTGGAATAATCGTTCAAGTTAAATGAACTATTTTAAACAGGATTTTGGTCATAAATTTATTGAACGGCTGAATCTTTAATGTCTCACAAATTTGTAAAGGTATGAATTTTCTCCGTGTTGATAATAGGGACGTTAAGCCAGGGGTTTTTGTGCACATGTTACATGTTGTCAAGGATTTTGTGTATCGTTATTTATCAGATATTAACAGCATGTTTTCTGACACACGTCAACCTTCGTAATGTTTGTGCTTGTGGCATAGCTTTTATTCCAGTTTATTCGTAGTTCCACGTATTTGTTGCTCATAACCTGGGTCAATATTTATTCAGTCTAATTTGGTTATTTGTAGCAATGCAAACTCAGGCAAGCGAAATTCACTATTGATCAAGTCGAGAATAGACCGTAATCAGAGTTTAAAGCAAAAATGAGCTCTAAAACTTTTTACATATGATTCACCTCCCTAATTATGATGGTGATTAACATGGATGTTGGTAGTTGTTTATAAAATGTAGGTTGAAGCAACTACTTATGAATATTATATATTTTGCTAATATACAGCCGTAAACAGTTCCATCCTTTATAAGTACCATCGTTCTTAACTGCACTAAAATATTATTATGTAAGGTATCCGAGAAAAATCACATGGGTAACAAATGACGTTGATAGCCTTTTCTTCCTGCTTTATGAACATATACAGGAACTTCACTTAGTATTGTTTGTTTGAATCTTCCCATTGTTGTGTCAGGACTGCAACTGGTCAGTCTCTAATTGGCATATGTGAATTTAAACTTCACCCCATTGCACAAACAAGTAGCTATCAGGACTCAGTGGCCTAGTGGATAACGCAATGGCGTTTGAAGCGAAAGGCACTGGGTTCTAGTCCCAGAGTGAACATCACCTCTGAGTTGCAGGTACATCCGTCTGACGAGTCTCAAATAGGACGAAACGCGCGTCCTTGATTCCACTGCTATCCACTATCCATCTTTGCTTACCATATGCAGGAACTGTGTATAACATTACTGTAAGTGCCACATTAATTAGTTACATATCCTTCATAAGTAGAGCGATGCCTGTTTGTTTTGATCATAATGACTAAACTATGTCATACTTAATACTAGTTTATGAACTGCTGTAAACAGGATCCGCAATCACTGACCTAATTATAAACAAAATTCTAATGTATATTGACGAGTAATATCTAAATATTGCTTACCAGTTTTTTCGTTATTGTATATAAACAGTGAATTGCTAATAGTGTTATGAACGTTGATAGTGGATTTTTATCAGATTTCATATTACTAATTAAAGCTTTTGAATCCGTTTATTTGGTGACTGAAGTTTGTTTGTTAACACCAAATAAGTGAATAAAATTCTAGGAGGGTTAGAAAATGAAGAGTACTGTTTACAACAAGTAAGACACTTATAGGTACATCCTGTCAGCCGCTATTTCATTTACTTATTGAATTTGATACCGTTGACGAAGATTAATAGATTGTTTCACGCTTGTTTTTTTTCAGAATTGCATTAAGCTGATATGGTCTTCATACGTTTTCTGCTATGCAATCTATGGCTTCTATCAACTAATTGAAAGCACAAACCTTTCTAATAATCAAGTCATAGCCGACAAACAACCTAGCGGGTTTTGAATATGGAAGATTATGCGGAAGACAACTTACAAGTTGACAACTGTGCCTAATATTGACTACTGCCATGTTTAATCATCTAATGAATTATCTAAATATAAATATAACAACTGTACAGTTTTTGCATTATAAATCTTGTTAGTTCGTTACTAATACTACTTTGATAATAAACCCAATGCGAAAACGGTAAATTTGTAATGTGATTACCTAATCTGTAAGATCTTACGAGGAATTCACATCACTAAATACACTTACTCATCATATCGTGACAATTAGCAATGATACTTGGTACTTCTGAAGAACACATTTATGCTGGGGATAGAATAATATATTTGTTGTGAATAATAATAATAAGTTACACATAATGAGCATGTCTGCAGGGCTAAGTCATGCCATCCGACTGAATGAATGGCTCCTCGTCCACTGCCACCGACCTTCTCCAAGTGTCACATGTCGAATATACATCTTTTCAGTCATAATATGCTTGAATTTGAAGACCATGTGGTTAGGAAACAATGCCATTACAAGTATCCATCCGAATAAACTCTCATAGTGAAGAATTTTATGTATACAACGCAACATTCTGGCGAAACATCTAAACTGATGCAGTACTACAAGTTTTCGTAACGAAACGGGTACTTATAAGACAAACACTTATTAGTGTTTAGTTTTCACAAACAGTTACCCGTTTAGATTATCGGTATATCTCCCCTTGAAACTACGAAGAAGACGAAAATAAAAATTGGGCAAACGTTTATTGATGTATCATTACTACTGGTACAGAGACAGCAACATTTGATACAGAGAAATCACTTTACAAGTTGGATATATCGTCAGGTTAAAAATACTAGTAGAAAGAACTTCATACAGTGAACAGTTCCTGTCACGTCTCCACACATTGTTGTATTCCGATCGACATTTTCTGTCGTAAAGAATACTACACAAAGACAAGCGTTAGGGAAACTACAGTCTTACCTGCTTACTGAAGAATCTGAAGTAAATATTGGCTTCGTTGAAACTGTACATGCTGTTTGCTTCTTCTGGGTAGTGGAATTGTTGTTATTATGGAAAGCGTGAGTGATATCCATTTTCCATCGACTTCAATGTCTAAGAATATGATAAATTATACAGTTTATATTTCGTAATTGATCGAGCTTACCTGTAAGAGTTTGTCTTCTTATGTATGCCAGTAGCATATAAAGGTAAGGACACCGATATGTCACAATTTATCCACGATCAAGGTTACATTTGCTCGCAATTCTTCTTGCCTCCAGGCAAACAGAACAGGAAGACCTCAACCAAAATTATCTCCGAAATTTACGAAGCGACAATCGGTCCAACGTGTGCACTATAAGACGGAGAAAGTTGAATCAATGTTCTTCCCAATAATTTTATGGTTTTGCTGCAGCAGAAACCCACGTAAATATGAGAACACCTGATATTCATGCAACCCAACGGACACCTAAAAAGCTCACAGCAATTGAAAAACGAAATGATTACCTCTTGTCAGGCCGTTCAAGGTCGTTGAAACGGAATGGCGGATGGTTT